GGGGAAGGTGCTGTTTTTCCTGGGCTTCAGCTGCAGGAGGCAGCAGAGGACCCGACCCGCAGTTGCGGTGTTAGAGCGCCGGGAGCGCGTAAGGCTGGCGCGGTGGGGATGGTTGGCTCTGGAGTCTAGGAGACCCAGGACGTGGGCACAGGGGGAAAAGGAGGAGATGGAAAAGAGAGGATCAGAAAACAAGCTTGCGCCGGATGCCACTCAGCCGAGTGTTGAAGGTTATTGGGTGCATACGTGTGCCAGAATGGCTTACTCCTCTGCAGGGCAGGACACCTGAATGTATGTGGAGGCCCTGGGCCTGCCTCCCTGATACCTTCCCGGAATTAGGGCATGCAGTCTAGTGCAGAGGACAGTCTGCTAGGCCTGTAGGATACATCACTAAAATTCATTTTCACAAGATGAAAAAATAAATTTAAAAGATTCCCCAGGCTGCTTCTCTGTTGCTTGAAACCAGGTTGCTGAATCAAATGCTTGTCAAGTATTGGAAGCCAGGAACTTTGGTTATAATGTGATAAAAATTTTCATGCAGCAGTTTTCAGGTGGGTAGAATGGACATTAAAAAAAGATGTTCATTCACCTGGTTCTGCTGTAAAACAGTGCAGAACATGATTCACAAAAAATATATGTATTATGTAAGAATAATCCTATGAAATTATTTGTAACTTGTCTGAAGAAAGCTTTTAACATTTACTGATAGTGGAAAAGGCTTAAGGGAAGAGCCAGACGTACGTTTGTTAATAGGGAAACCATATTTTGAACAGATCAAATCTTGCAAATTTGTCAGTGATTCTGAAGTTCATCTGTGAGGATAAACAGGTGAGAGACCAAAGAAAATACTGTTAAAATGTGATAAAAGGCCACTAGTGCTACCAAATATTAAACCACATTATAAACTCAAAACTTAAAACATCCTGGTAACTTGGCACATGATAGATAAATCACCTATAGACTATATAGCCCAGAAAAGCAACTTACTGTTATAATATATGATAACTACAACTAAAATGCTAATGGCGTTGTTAGGGAGGTGGAATTGGGGAAGATTTTTTTTCTCTGTCTTCATTTATTCAATAATCCATTTCTTCAAAAAAATGCACTGGGTGCTATTCTAAGAAATGGAGATATAACAATGAACAAAACATAAAAATCCCTGCCTTCATGGAGCTTACAGTCTACCTAGGTAAAAGGACAAAAAATAAGATAAATGCACCATATGGTATATCAGATAGTAAACACCAGAAAGGGAGATATAAACTGATATGGTAAGAGGATGGTTTGAAGTTTTAGAGAGCGTGGCTAGGAAAAGTGACTTTTGAATAGACTTGAAAGAAGTGAGGGAGCTAGCTATACATAAAAGGAGGAATTGAAGTTCAGGCAGAGGTTAACAAATGCAGAAGCACTGAAGTATGCATAGTTGGTGTGGTTAAAGAATATAGCGAAGGCCAGTGGGCCTGAGTGGAGAGAACTAGGGGAATAGTAGTAGGAAACAAGGTCAGAGAGTTTGGTAGGGTAGATTATACAGGACCTTGCAAATCACATTAGGATATTGCTTTTACTCTGAGTGACGTAGGAGCTATGTGGGGTATTTGGCATAGAGGAGTGCCATGATCTGGCATATAGTTTAATAGGACCAGTCCAGTTCCTGTGTTGAGAGCAGGATTTGGGGACAAAGGCAGATACAGAGAGACTTGTAAGGAGGCCATTGTAGTCCAGGCAAGAAGTAATGGTAACTTGGAGCAAGGTGGTGGCAGCCAGGTGGTGAGAATGATTGAATTTTAGATTATTCTGAAGGTAGAACTGATAAGATTTGCTCATGAATGGGAAATGAGCTGTGAGAGAGAAAGGCAACAAGACTGATACCAAAGTTTTTGGCTTGAGCAACTGGAAGAATGGAGATGCCACTGGCCGACTTGAGATGACTGCAGGAGGACCTAGTTTTGGGGAAAGGAGACAATCAGAAGCTCAGTGTTGGATGTATTAAATTTGAGTTGCCTACTAGACATCCAGATGGAATAAGTATTGGAATATGTGGTCTGGAGTTCAGGGGAGAGGTACCACTTGTTTTCTTAATTTTTTTTATTACTTTTATAATAAGCAATATGAAAAATAAGAATGAAATGGTTATAACAACAAAGAGCTCGAGAAGTTGAGCTGTGAAGGTAAATTGTGGTTTTTGAGTTACCAACTAGATGTTTTAAATGGTTTCATTCAGGTTCAGACCCTCTACTGTTAAAGACTGTATCCATGCTGTGCTCAAGGAGGAACTGACAAATGCTGAATACTCTCCAGAAGAAATGCCTCAGCTCACAAAACGTTTATCAGAAAATATTAAAGATAAATTAAAAGGTAATAATGGTGATAATAAGAAATGACTTGTTCCCATTGAACATTGAGTTTTACTTATTTGCCTCCTTCCCCATCTTTAAACAAGGGACATAAGCTGTGGATTCTATTAAAGACACATTTTTCTTTAATGTCTAATCTTCTCAGTTAACTTTTACTCATGTAGGTTTTTGCAGATGGTGGGAAAGAGTAGAGATGTGAAATAAGACATTGTATAGAACCACTCTCCAGGAAATCCAAGTGTGCAGAAAATCCAGGAAGTACTTTCCCTCATAATTCTTGTGGTTTTCCCCACCAAGATATCAATTCCTCAGCCTGCCATTCAGTACTCTTTCAGCCTGACCTCAGTCCATCTTTCCAGCTGAATTCTTACTACTTGTCCTACTCAACCCTCTGCTCCTGCCAAGCTCTACATGTGTATAGCAAATCTTGTGCTTTCCCTACCCTTTCTTTATCTGTTTCTTGGTCTCTCTCTTATAAATAATATACCATCTGAAAAGCCCTCTCTCCTTTTAAAAAAGTATTTTTTTAGCGAGAATAAATATCTTTGTAATAACAATACATTTTCATTGTAATAAACCTGCACAATATAGTAGTCTCCCCTTATCTACAGGGATGTGTTCTAAGATCTCCTGTGGATGCCTGAAACCATGGATAGTACTGAACTTTTTCCTTTGCTTTTTCTTATACATACATACCTATGATAAAGTTTAATTTATAAGTTAGGCACAGTAAGATTAACAACAATAACTAATAATAGAATAGTTATAACAGTATATTGTAGTGAAAGTATCTTTCTCTCAAAATATCTTATTGTGCTGTACTCACCTTTTCTTTAAAAGGAAGCACATGCCCAACTGGCTTGGCTTAGTGATTGAGCATCGGCCTATGATCAGGAGATTGCAGTTCGATTCCCCATCAGGGCACATGCCCTGGTTGCAGGCTCCATCCCCAGTAGGGGGCTTGCAGGAGGCAGCTGATCAATGACTGTCATCATTGATGTTTGTCTCTCTTCCTCTCTCTAAAATCAATAAACACATATTGATTTAAAAAAAAATCCTCAGGTGAGGATTAAAAAAAAATACACACTCATTTAAAGAAATTTAAACTGCCTGGCCAGTGTGGTATGGTGGTTGAGCGTTCACCCAAGAACCAAGAGGTCACCAGTTCAATTCCCAGTCAGAGCACATGCCCAGGTTGCAGGGTAAATTCCCAGTAAGGGACGTGCAGGAGGCAGCCAATCGATGATTCTCTCTCATCGATGTTTCTCTCTCTCTCTCCCTTTGCGGTCATAATTTATTTTTCTTGCTTTCTCTCTAAAAATCAATAAAAATATTTAAAAAAAATTTGAACAGTGTAGAAAAACAAAATTAGAAAAATCACCAAATGCTACCCATAATTATTAATACTAAGTGAACATCATATAAGAGCTCCTTTCTATGTATATACACAGATGAACAAATACTTTAATAACAATAGGATATTATAGACTTATTTCTCATAGTGGTATAGCATTCATTCTATATCATTTATTTATTTTTATTTATTTATTTTTAAAAATATGTCTTTATTGATTTCATAGAGGGGAATGGAGAAGGGGAGAGAGAGAGAGAAACATCAGTGATGAGAGAGTCATTGATTGGCTGCCTCCTGCACGCCCCCTGCTGGGGATCGAGCTGCAGCCCGGGCATGTGCCCTGACCCAGAATTGAACCTCAATCTGGACCATAGGTCGATGCTCAACCACTAAGCCACGTGGGCTGGGCTCATTCTATATTTAAATAGACTGATTTCCCAAGATTTAGTACTTTTACCATTGCTGAGTTCTGTATTTTGGTTCAGTTTTTATCTGACAAAGTTTTGCTATGAATTTTTTCAGGAAAGGCTCAGAAATGCTATATTCCATGAATTTTTTCATGTTTGAGAATGCCTTTAAACCACAGTATATTTTGGTTGAATATAATGTTGAGGTCATAATTTATTTTCTTGAAAATCTTACAGAGTTTGCTTCATTGTCTTCTAGCATTGAATGTGACTGTGGAGAAATCTGAGTCCAGTCTGATGTTCTCTGCATAGAGAATCCTATCCTTAACCTTGATTCTCAATAGCTTTTCTAGGATATGGCTTGGTATTGAGCATTTAAAAATCTGGGGCTTTTATTTTTTTCCTTACTAGGGAAATTTTTTTCTATCTTTGAATACATTTCCTGTTCCATTTCTTAGATTCTCTTCTTCAGGACACCAAATATTGATATGTTGAGTCATCTTTGTCTTCCACACACATCTATTAGCTTTTCTCTGCTGTAATTTCTTCCTTTTTCTTTGATGTTTACCTGTGATTATTTTAAACGAGTAAATCAGTTTTCATTTGTGTCTGTTTTATCTGTTGCCATTTTAAATTTACTAGTTCTGCACTGCTGTTAATAGTGTGGGTGTTCCATTCGTTTCCTAGAGCTTCAATCTCTCTTTTCATCTTTCTGTTGTTTTATAATCTGATTGAGTTCTTATTTTATTGAATTTAAGATCTTATGTTATTTTCCATTGTGAACCAGTTGTGAAGAATTTCTCTTTGTTTCTTGATTTATATTACCTCCAAGGTTGAGTTTTTTCTGTTTTAAACAGTATATTTCTTTCTTTCTTGGTATCCTTGTGTTTGTTTTTGCTGTTGCACCTTTGCATATCGCTTTTCAGCTTCTTTTCATTTTGCTTTGATGTGTTGTGGGTGTTTTTTAAAAACTCTCCTCCCACTGTACCTGAGGCTATTTTGTTCTCTCAAAACTATGATTTAAGGGCTGAATATTTAATACTCTAGCCACAATTCCAAAGCATGGATATGAGAAAAGGAGGAAGAGAAACGGGTAGAGAAATGTGGAAGCTCAGTTAAGCTGTGTGCAGTGTGTGGAGTTTTTCTTTTCCTTTTTTTAATTGTCACCTCAGGATATGTTTAGAGAGAGGAAGAGGGAGAGAGAGAAGCATCGATGTGAGAGAGAAACATTGATTGGTTGCCTCCCATACCCGCCCTGAACCAGGGCTCAAAGCGCGCAACCTAGGAATGTGCCCTGAGAGTCAAACCTGGAACCTTTTGTGTATACGGGACAGTGCTCCAACCAACTGAGCCACCCGGCCAGGGCCTGTGTGCAGTGTTTTTAAAAAATAACTTGGCCCTAGCTAGTTTGGCTCAGTGGTTAGAACAGTTTTGTGCCAACTGAAGGATCCTGAGTTTGATTCTGGCCAAGGGCATGTACATTGGTTGCAGGCTTGATCCCTGGCCCCCGTTGGGGCATGTGTGGCAGGCAACCAATCAATGTCTCTCTCTCACATCGATGTTTCTCTCTCTCTCTTTCTCTCTCTCTCTCTCTCTCTCTCTCTCTCTCTCTTATTTCCACTCTCTCTGAAAAGCAATGGAAAAAAAAATATCCTCGGGCGAGGATTGAAAAAAAAATTGGGGCTGTCTTCTTCTGAGATTTTGTTAAGTATCCTGAATTAGGGTTCTTGTCCCACATGGAAGGGTATCTGCTCAGATTGTTTGCATAATTTACTATGTAATCCTGAAGCTTTTACATTCATCAAAGAGAGTTGGCTCTGTTTCAGCTTTGCCCATTTCACACTTTTGTTGTTGTTACTGTTCCACTGTTCCCTGGTCAGAAAAGGGGGAAGGTAAAGACCCCCATTCAGTGTTCTCCTCTCCAGATCTGCTGTTAGGGAGAATTTTCAGGATTTTGCGTGTCTATGGTTACACACTAAGCTTACAGTTAGGGTTCGTCCTCAGGTCTCTCTGGCTCCCAAGCTTATCATCATACCTGGTAAGTGCTTGTAGACTGAATGCTTATGTTCTTTTCCAGGCAAATTTGCCTTCATTAAGTAATTTTACCATATATTTGCTTATAGGTAACTTTCTTACTTTTTCTTTCTAGAAATGGGATTTGACCGATATAAAATGGTGGTACAAGTCGTGATTGGAGAACAAAGAGGTGAAGGAGTATTGTGAGTAGTTGGTTTTTCTTTCTTGTTTTTATTCTTACATGTTTCTTACTAGGTATTCGTTCTCTTGATGATGCAGTATGATTGTGTCTTTGCAAGTGTGAGTAAAGGACAGCGTAACAAAATGCAGCTGCGAAGCCAAGAGATCCTGGTTCTGAACAGTGAGGTTGACAGTCTGAGTGAGCTCCATGGGGTCATTCACTTTTCATAGTATCTGTAGGCTAATAAGTCTTTTGGGCATTATGTATATATGTTCCCAAAGAAAGTATGGGATTATGTATATATGTTTCCTCCCATATTCCTTGTTGCCCATTTTTTGGTCCTACCATTATCCAAAATTAATATCTTTAAAATCATCTGAGACCTCCTTATTAGCAAATCTAAAAGTTCTTTCTTAGCTCTTGTGTTTGCCTGGGCTTCTGTTTCTTAAAATTCACTGTGGTTTTATTGGCCCTGATGTCACTTGTCTAACTTGTTTCTCTCCTGTTTTTCTGATTGTTCTCTCGCCTTCACTGGTTCCTCTTTATCCCCTGCATTCCCAGCTGTGAGCTTCCGGCAGGGCTCAGTTCTTATTCTGCGATTCTATATGCTTTCACAATGCGCTCATTCATTCTCATGACCTCGAACTGTCATTCCTGTATTGATGAGTTCAAAGTACGTATTTCTTGTCTTTTCCAATGCCCAAGTGTTGATCTCCTCTTTCCATTTGTAAACAGTGCCTAGTATAGTATTTTGTAAGAAAGTTTTAAAATATTTGTTGAATGAATTTCTTAAAAATACCTTGTAGATAATATCACTGAGAATTTTCACTATAGAATGTTAAATTTGAAAGGCACTATCAGTATTTTCTAGTGTCTAGTCTATTTTATGGTGACACTTATCAGCCCCTTATCAGCATGATTTGCTCAAAATTATAGATGTGTCTAGTGTCAGGGACACTAATAGGGTCCAGCCTTCTGACCCTAGCACAGTGCTCTTCACCACGGTATCCTCTACCATTTGGTCAAAAGGCTTCAGGACATTTTCTCACCACAGAGACATTCAGACATACTTTACTATTCTGTCACCTTAGATTCAACATGTTAAGAGTTCCAAATTTCTTTTTCCTTATGCTCCCTAAATCAGCCTGTCACTTTAATTTCTTTGTCTCCCACAGTATTACTGAGGTCCTGTGGACTCAGGATTAAAACCTTCGAGTCTGCTTTATCTTATTTAGCTATCACTGTCTCCCACTGCGTGCACTGTAATCTGGATGCCAGGATTATTTAGCAACAGCCCCTTATCAGCACTGTTTGACTCTGATCTCCCTCCTCTACAATTCATTTTGTATGCCAGACCAGTCTCCCAGGAGTACACCTTGCTTTCCACAGACTCTATATAGAGTTTATTTTAAATCTCTTCAAATATAAACTTCTTTAAGTTGACTTGCTTAAATGTGATCAGGCCAAACTCTAAAGCATGGCATACAAGGCCTCCCCCACCCATTTTAAAATTTTTATTGTCTAAAGTTTTAAATATATGCAAAAGTGTAGGGACTAAGGAACTGCCATGGATCTATTACTTAGCTTCAAAGGTTATCAACACATACCTATGTTGCTTCATTTATATATCCGCCTACTTTCCCTGCCTCCACCAGATTATTTGGAAGCAAATTCCAGTCATCATACCATTTCATCTGTAAATACAATAGTATATATCTCTAAAATACAAGGACCCTTTTAATATAATAAAACATCATCACATCTAAATATTGTCAGTCCTTAAGATTATAAAATATTCAGTTAGCTTTCATATGTCCCCAGTTGTTTCATTTATACATGTATATATGGTGTATGTATTTGTGTGTGTGTGTGTGTATAATAGTTTGTTCAAATCAGGATCCAGACAAAGTCCACACATTATATTTGGTTGATACAACTCTTAAATTTCTCTTACTATATCATTTCTTTCCCTCTTTTTGCTCTCTCTCTCTCCCTCTCTTTTTTTTTATTATTTTTTTTACCTTAGCATTTATTTGTTGAAGAAACTGGGTTGTTTGTCTTGTAGAGTGTACTATCTATATTCTGGCATTTGCTGATTGTACTGCTTGGTATTGTTTACTATATCTTCTATATCTCCTCTTTTCTTGTAAATAAATAGTTAGATGTAGTCTTAATCAGTCAGAGGTTTGAGTTTTGGGCAAGAATATGACATAAAGTGTTTAGTATGCATCCTGCTGCATCTCATCAGGAGGCAGAAAAGGGTTGTCCCTTTTTTTATTGTTAAGATTGATCATGGAGTTCAGATGTTGTCAGACAGATCCATCTATTGTAAAGTTCCCTATCAGTATTACCATTAATGGTTTTAGTAGCCAGTCCTAGATCTATTATTAATCAGAGGTTACAAAATGGTGATCTTCTAATTCTACCATTGTTCTTTATTTACTAGCTGGAATTCTATTAAGAATGACTTTTCTTTCAGCCATTTCATTACCATGAGGCATAGCTTGTACAGGAAGGGAAGGATAAGTTTACTAATTTTCAGAATAATGAATTGGTTCCCTAGCATCTTCCAGAGGTTACCAGTGAGTTCTTTTTTTCTATCTATGAACCCATGGTTTTAAATGTATTCAATGTGTTTGAATCCACTGTGATTATTATCCTTATTGATGCTTAAATTATCCCATCTTTTGCCATGAGTAGTTTCTTCAAGTTAACTCCTGATTCCTTTTATTTCTTTTTAGAACAAAACAGAAGGTGTATTTCTCTTCTTAAAACATACTACACCAGGTAGGAGCCCAAGCCTGGTGTGGAATCTCACTGGTGTCAAGGACGTAGGCTCTCTGTCTTGATTCTCTGCTGTCTTCCTCTGCATGGTTGAGGATGGCTCAGTACTACATTTACATTCCTTAAGGGAATGAAATAGAAAGAAATGTATGTACCTTTCCATTTTTAGCACTTTAAAAATGTGATTACGTTGTCTTCTGGTTTCCATTGTTTCTGTTGAGAAGTCAGCTGTAAGTCTTATTATTATTCCTTTGGAGTTATATGTCTTTTTTTCTGGCCACATTAGAATGTTTTTCTCATTGTCTTTTTACTCTGATGTGTATGATTTTCTTTTTATTCTTTCATTTTGGGGTTCTCAGAGCCCGTGGAATCTGTGGGCCATTGAATCTTTTTTGTATCAACCTCGGGAAATTCTTAGTGTATGGATAGAGCTGACTCGATCTTGAAGCTAATCCACCAGCTTAAATTCTGAGTGAGTGAGTGAGTCTGGAGCTTTGATGCCACCTTCCCTTCTCCTAGGGGGACTCTGGAATGTGTCCAGAGGTTTCCCACTAGTCACAGAGCTTCCGTTACTTCTTCCTCTGTGGCAAGGAGCTCTAGAAGTTACCTCTTAGCTCATTCCAGTGCCAGGGTCTGCTGGTTTCTGGCTTCTTTGTTCCCCCTGACCACCCACGCAGTCCTTTTGGAGCATGTAGGTCTGTCTCTGAGTGGGAATGAAAGATAGTGGTCTTGGAGGGGACAGACAGAGATTTGACTGTTTTGCAGCTGGCCAAGGCAAGTGTTTCCTATAAGTTCCCTATTAAACCCATTAACCAACAAGCTGGACTCATCTGTCTCAATCTTCAGTCTCTCAGCCCCTTTGGGGCTGCTTTCCCTACACAGTCTTTTTATGGAATATTTAGCCATTAACTTTTAAAAAATAAATTTATATTAGGATTGTTATAGATTGTAGAAAAGTTGCAGAGGTAGTACAGAGAGTTCTCATATACTCTACATCTAGTTTCCTCTATCATTAGCATCCTATATTAGCATGCCTAGTTTGAATCCTGGACATGGTGTTAAAAAAACAACTGTAGAACCTCCAGATAATATTATTTTCTTTCAGATAGGGTTCCTTTGCTATTCAGGTAAAGAATGGACTGCTTACCTTAATCCAGTCAGGTACTGAGCTGAGTTGAGGTTTTGTTGCAGCTTTAATAAAACTTGCTCTGTCTTCAGTTCACCTTTCTTTCCTTTCTTCCTTTCCTTCCTTTCCTTCCCTTCCTTCCCTTCCTTCCCTCCTTCCTTCTTCCCTCCCTCCCTCCCTCCCTCCCTCCCTTCCTTCCTTCCTTTTTTAAATGTGTTTTTATTGATTTCAGAGAGAAGAAGGGAGAGGGAGAGAGAGAGAGAAACATCAATGATGAGAGAATCATTGATCGACTGCCTCCTGCATGCCCCCCACTGAGGATCAAGCCCGAAACCCGGGCATGTGCCCTGACCAGGAAT